GCTAGTGAGCCTGCCAGTGAGTTCTTTATTTCAGATTTTGTATTTTACAGTTATAAAATTTCCATTTGATTCCTCTTTAAGTTTTTTTTTTGTTTGTTTTGAGTTTTTAAAGTTTATTTATTTTGAGAGAGAGAGAAAGCACGAGTCAGGGAGGGGCAGAGAAAGAGGAAGAGAGAGAATCCCAAGCAGGCTCCACACTGTCAGTGCAGAGCCTGATGCGGGGCTCAAACTCAAGAACCACAAGATCATGACCTGAACCTAGATCAAGAGTTGGACACTTAACCAACTGAGCCACCCAGGCACCTCTTGTTTATTTTTTAGTAATCTCTGCACCCAGTGGTAGGCTCGAACTCACAATCCTGAGATCAAGAGTTGCATGCTCTATGGATTGACCTAACCAGGCACTGCTCTTTTATTTTATTTTAGTTTTTGTCTCTTCTGAGAACTATGTTTTCATTCATTTAGAAAGGGTTCACCTTTACCATCATGGAAGATGGTTATAACTGTTTAAATGTTGTTGTCTGATACTTATAACATTAAGTGATTGTCTTTTTTCTTAAGAATTAATCAGATTTTCCTAGCTCTTCACAAATTGAGTAATTCTGGATTGCATCCTGGGTGTTTCCTCTAGCCAAGAAGATGATTTTTCAGGAGCTCATGGTGCTATCACTGTGACAGTGCAGCTCTATGACTTTGCCTTGGGGCAGAGCCATGGGAGAATACAAAAACAGGAAAACAGGAGGGAAAAAAAAAGGATGTTGTCCATAATCACTGGCTTAAGGAGTGACTTTTTCTGATCCTCTGGTAAAAAAGAGGGGCTTTCTCTTGGATTATTTGCCACCCACACTAGTGCAGTTCTGTGTTTTGGGCCACCTTCAGCTCTAATGTGGAAACTGTAACTGCTCAATTTTGTCTTTCTTCCCCAATCCAGCTGCTATCACCTACTTTTCAGAGTCCAGTTGCTTTCTCCTTGACTTATTAAAAATGTTCATTTTAGAGGCATGTGAGCGGGGCGGAGAGAGAGAGAGAATCTTAAGCCGGACTCAATTCCATGACCCTGGGATCATGACCTGAGCTGAAATCAAGAGTTAGATGCTCAACTGACTGAGCCACCCAGGAGCCCCTCCAGTTGCTTTTTGTATTCTAGCCATAGTGTTTAGTTGTCATCACTGGGAGAGATCAGCTGTAGCGCTCTTATTCCATCTTGCTGGCACCAGACTCCGTGGTATTTTAAAGAAATTTTAAAAGATGGTCTTTTCTAGGAGCACCTGGGTGGCTCAATCAAGCCACCGAATCTTTTTTTTTTTTAAATGTTTATTTACTTATTTTGAGAGAGAGAGAGAGCACGAGACAGGGAGGGGCAAAGAGAGAGGGGGAGAGAGAATCTCAAGCAGGGTCTGTGTTGTCAGTGCAGAGCCCCATGTGGGACTTGAACTTACGAACTGGTGAGATCATGACCTGAGCTGAAATCAACAGTTGGACGCTTAGCCCACTGAGCCACCCAGGTGCCTCCACTGACTCTTGATTTCAGCTCAATTCATAATCTCTCATTTTGTTGACAACATGGAGACTGTTTGGGATTCTCTCTCTCCCCCTCTCTCTGCCCCTCCCCTATTCACACGGTCTTTCTCTCCTCTCTCAAAATAAATGAATTAAGAAAAAAAAAAGATCATCTTTTCTAGACATCCAGATGGCCAAGACACATGAAAAGATGCTCAACATCACTCATTATTAGGGAAATGCAAATTTCCCTGTCAGAATGGCTAAAATAAAAAAAAAAAAAAAACAAGAAACAAGTGTTGACACTGGTGGAGAAAAAGGAACCCTCGCACACTGGTGGTGGGAATGCAAACTGATGCAGCCACTGTGGAAAAAAATATGGAGGTTCCTCAAAAATTTAAATCTGGGGGCACCTGGGTGGCTCAGTGGTTAAGCATTTGACTTCGGCTCAGGTCACGATCTCAACAGTTCATGGGTTCTAGCCCCCCATCAGGCTCTGCTGACAGCTCAGCGCCTGGAGCCTGCTTCAGATTCAGTGTCTCCCCCTACCCCCACTCACTCCTCCTCTGCTCGCGTACTGTCTCTTTCTCAAAAATAAATAAACATTAAAAAATTACAAAAAAATTTAAAAATAGAACTACCTTATGATCCAGCAATCGCACTACTGGGCATTTACCCAAAGGATATAAAAACACTAATTCTAAAGGATATATGAACCCCATGTTTATTGCAGCATTATTTACAATAGCCAGATTATGGAAGCATCCCAAATATCCATGGACAGATGAATGGATAGAGAAAATGTGGTATGGGGGCGCCTGGGTGGCTCAGTTGGTTAAGCGTCCGACTTCGGCTCAGGTCATGATCTCTCGGTTTGTGGGTTCTGTGCTGACAGCTTGCTCAGAGCCTGGAGCCTGTTTGAGATTCGTATCTCCCCCTCTCTCTGACCCTCCCCTGCTCTCTCTCTCTCTCTCTCTCTCTCTCTCAGAAATAAATAAAACATTAAAAAACTTTTAAAAATAACTAAAATAAAATCTCTTAAAAAAGAAAGAAAGTATGATACACACACGCACAATGGAATATTATTCAGCCATAAAAATGAAATCTTACCATTTGCAACATATGGATGGATCTAGAGAGTATAATGCCAAGTGTAATGCCACAGAAAGACAAGCACCATATGATTTTACTCATATGAAATTTAATAAACAAAGGGGAAAAAGAGAGAAATCAAGAAACAGATCTTAACTAAAGAGAACAAACTAATGGTTACCAGAAGGGAAGGGGGGGGGGGGCAGAAATGGATAAAATAAGTGGTGGGGATTAAAGAGTACACTTACTGTGATGAGCACTGAGCAATGTATAGAATTATTGAATCACTATATTGTACACCTGAAACTAATATAACACTGTATATTAACTACACTGGAATTAAAAAGCTTTAAAAAAAAAAAAAAAAGGTGGTCTTTTCCATTTACCCAACATTCACTACTTCTGGGGCCTTCAATTCTACCTGCTGATGTGGGCTTCCATTTGGGGTCTTCCTTTAGCATTTCTTTTAGTGTGAATCTGTTAGCAATTTTGTTTTCTGAAAAAAAAATTTTTTTTTGAAAATGGCTTTATTTCAACTTTATCTTAAAAAATCAAGATATAGGGGCACCTGGGTAGCTCAGTTGGTTGAGCCCCAACTTCAATTCAGGTCATGATATCACAGTTTGTGAGTTTGAGCCCTGCGTTGGGCTCTGTGCTGATGACAGCTCAGAGCCTGGAGCCTGTTTCAGATTCTGTGTCTCCCTCTCTCTCTGCTCCTCCTCCCTCATGCTCTGTCTCTCTCTCGCTCAAAAATAAATAAACATTGAAAAATTTTTTTTCAAATCAAGGTATAATTTATGTATAGTGAAATGAGGAAATTTTAAGTGTGCAGTTAAGTAAGTCTTGCCACATGCATATATCCCATAAATCTGTATCTTATCAAGATACAGGACATTTCTATCACCCCAGAGAGTTCCTTTGTGCCTCTTTCTAATCTGCCCCAGTTCCCAAAGGAAACCCTTGTTCTGATTTCTATCCCTATATATTAGTTTTGCCTGTTATCAAACTTCATATATGGAATTATACAGTATGTTCTATGTTTGTCTTTTTTTTCCCCCTCAACATGATGTCTGGAAGTTTATCAGCGTCACTGTATGTATCATTAGTTCTTTTGCCTTTTGTGTAGTATTTTATGTGTATACTCATAAAATGTATTTATCCATTCTCCTGTTTATAGACATTTGACTTCACTCCAGTATTTGCCTCTTATGAATGTAATACTACGAGCATTCCTGTACAAGTCTTTTTGTGAACATACATTTTCATTTCCCTCAAGTAAATATGAAGGAGTGGAATTGCTGAGTCACAGAGCAGGTGTAGATGTATGCTTAATTATATAAAACTAATTTCCAAACTAATTTCCAAATTGGTCATTCTATTCTGCTAACATTTGGTTCTCAGTTTTTAAAAATTCTTTCATTTGAGCCATTATAATGGATAAGTAGTGGTATCTCATTGTAGTGTATGTTTTGACTTTCCCTAATAAGCAATGATGATGAGAAACTTTTCATGTGTTTGGTGGTTGTTTGTATATACCTTCTCTTATGAAGTGTTGATTTCAGTCTTTTGTCCATTTTTATTAGGTTGCTTATCTTTATTATTAAGTTGTAGAAGTTTTCTATCCTGGATACAAGACTTTCATCAGATATATACACACAAAATATGTACATTTTCTCTCTCTTGTATATATAATATATATATAGTAAGTGTTCTATTCTTTAGCCTATGACTTAAAAAAACTGAGGTTTAATTGACATATAACATTAAATTAGTTTTAGGTGTACAGCATAATGACCTGATATTTGCATATATTGTAAAATGCCTACCACAATAAATCTAGGTAACTTCTGTCACCATACAGTTATAGAAGTTTTTTTTTACTTGTTAAGAGAACTTTTAAGATTTACTCTCAGGGCCGCCTGGGTGGCTCAGTAGGTTAATCGTCTGACTCTTGATTTTGGTTCAGGTCATGATCTCACAGTCGTGAGATCAACCCCCTCCTTGGACTCCGCGCTGACAGCATGGAGCCTGATTGGGAGTCTCTTGCTCCCTCTATCTCTCTCGGCATGCCCCTCCCCCACTTGCACTCATGCACTCTCTCTCCTTCTCTCAAAATAAATAAATAACATCTAAAAAAAAAAAGAGGGCTGCTTGGGTGGCTCAGTCAGTTAAGCATCTGACTCTTGATTTCGGCTCATGTCATATTCTCACAGTTCGTGAGTTCGAGCCCTGCATCAGGCTCCACATTGGCAGTGTGAATCCTGCTTGGAATTCTCTCTCATCCTCTCTCTCTGCCCCTCCCCATTCAAATAAATAAACTTAAATAATAATAATAAAATAAAAAGATTTACTCTCTTGGCAACTCTCAAATATGCCATACAGTATTGTTGAGTATGGTCTCCACACTGAAAAATATGGAACGTTTCAAGTATTTGCGTGTCTTCCTTGCTCAGGAGCCATGCTAATCTTCTCTGTATAGTTCCAGTTTAAGTGTATGTGTTGCTCAAGTGAGTGAGCACCCCAGCTGACCTTTAAACATGCTGTCTTCTGATAAGCAGATGGTTTTAAATGGGATGAAGTCCATTCTATCAATATTTTATACTTATTGTTTTCTCTGTCCTAAGAAATCTTTGTCAACTACAAAGTCACAAAATAATTTTCATGGTTTTTCTTCTAGAAGCTTTATAGTTTAACTTTAATTTTTGTTTAGATCTATGATACATCATGTGTGGATGTGTTTTGTCTATGATATTAGATAGGGGTCAAGATTCTTTTTTCCCCATTGAAAATGCATTTCCTTTCTGTACTGAATTATCTTGATACATTAAAAAAATCAATACACTGCAAATGTGAGTCTATTTCTGACTTCTTTATTCTGTTTCATTGATCTGTTTGTCTCTTCTTACACTAAAACCACATTGTCTTGATTACTATAACTTTTTAGTCTTTCAAGACAGTAAGTCTTGAAATCAGATAATGTAAGTCTATTTTGTCTACCCCTGCTCTCTCTTGGTTCTTTTTGCATGGAATATCTCTCTCTATCCCTTCACTTTTAGGCTCATGTGTGTCTTTGAAGCTGAAGTGAGTCTCTGTTAAGTAGCATTACCAGGGTCTTTTCTGTTTGTTTTGTTCATTTAGCCACTCTATGTTTTTTGATTGGAGAATTTAATCCACTTACATTTAAAGTAATCACTGATAGGTAAGGATTTACTAATGCCATCTTATTGTTTTCTGGCTCTTTTGTAGTTCTTTTGTTCCTTTCTTCTCTTGCTGTCTTTCTTTGATGTTTTTCCATAGTGGTATGCTTAAAAATTTTTTTTAAGATTTTATTTTTTGTTAGGTAATCTCTACACCCAACATGGGGCTCAAACTTAGAGCCACAAGATCAAGAGTCATGTGTTCTACAGACTGAGCCAGCCAAGTACCCCTACAGTGGTATGCTTTGATTTCCTTTTTTTTTCATTTGTGTATCTATTGTAGGTTTGTGCCTTGTGGGTACCATGAAGCTGACATAAATCATCCTATAGTCTAAGTTGATAACAACTTCAATTGCATATACAACCTACCCTTTTACTCCTCCCCCCAATTTTGTTGTCATAATTTACATATTTTTATATTGTATATATAGGGACAAATTGTTGTAGCTATAGTTATTTTTAATAATTTTGTCCTTTAACCTTTATGCTAAAGTTAAATGATTAGCACACCACCAGGTTACAATATTAGAGTATTCTAAATCTGACTGTATACTTACTTTTACCAGTGTGCTTTATGTTTTCATACGTTTTTGTTATTAGTTAGCATCCTTTAATGTCAGCTTGAAGAACTCTGGCAGGTCTTGTGGTGAGAGAGATGAACTGTCAGCTTTTGTCTGGGAAAGTGTCTATCTTGTCTTCATTTTTTTTTTTTATTGTGAACTTTCCTTTTATTTTTATTTTATTTTATTTTATTTTATTTTATTTTTTACAAATAGTTTATTGTCAAATTAGTTTCCACATAACACTCAGTGCTCATCCCCACAATCTTGTCTTCATTTCTAAAAGAAAGGTTTATTCCTGGTTAGCAGGTTTTTTTTTTCTTTCAGCACTTTAAATATATTATATCTTTGAATATATTACTTTCTTATGGCCTGTTCTGCTGAGAAATCCATTGATAGCCTTAAGGGGGTTCCCTTGTTTGTGAGAAAATTTGGTTTTTGTTGCTTTTAAATTTTGGAGGGGGGCTTTGGGGGGGTGTGCCTGAGTGGCTCAGTCGATTAAGCATTTGACTTCAGCTCAGGTCATGATCTCATGGCTTGTGGGCTCAAGCCCTGCGTCAGGCTCTATGCTGACAGCTTGGAGCCTGCAGCCTGCTTCAGATTCTGAGCCTCCCCCTCTCTCTCTACCCCTCCCCCACCCACGCTCTGTCTCTCTCTCTCTCCTTCAAAAATGAATATACCTGCTCCATACTTCTTATTCCTTCTTGATGTGATTTTAAAGATTGTGTGTCTTCTCTCAATCCTGTAATGCCAGATTGGATTCCTGGTAGCCTCCTGTTTGCTTTCCCTGAGGCAATGCTCAACAGTTCAAATTGTGTTCTTTCTCGGTCCTACAGAGTCAACTGGCTTTGTATGCGTGCTCACTAGCCACCTGCAAAGGCTTCTACTTGCCACCCTCAGGGGCCTACACAGGGAGGCCAGCCATGGGTAAGGGAGTATGTGGATGAGTGGCACAGAGTGCTAGAGATGTCCATATGCCAGCTGGGGAATCTGCAGGTGAGGCATCCTCAGTGGCTTGTGGGCAGGCTTCCTGACGGAGTTTGGTTAGAGCTCATGTTCTTTTGATACATTTCAAGCCCTACCTGCTATTCTCTTAGTTCCTCCACACTCCTCAGTCATGTGGCTTACCTCAGTGTTCTGGAAGATATGAGAAATGTACTCTCAGCGACACCTGGGGCTATGACTCTGAGGGGCTACCAGGGACTCACACTAACCAGGTGGGTTTTCAGAAGACAAGAGCAGGCAAAGGTGGGGAGATCTTGTGGCAAGTGTCTTTTGCATGGTTCAGAGCTAAGAACACAGCTAAGAACTTCTATAGTGGCCATTCCTCACCATATGATGTGGCCTTGAGTCCCTCAGGGAAGAAGACAGGAGAGCACTTGAGCCCATTGCAGTCTGTGATGGGGGTCCCAGATGGTCCTGGAAGCCTCATGGAATTTCCTGGACATTGTATGGATAGTTCAACAATTCAACTCTTCCAAGGTAATCATTGGTAGCAATTTGGTATATATACCTTTCTCCCCCTTTATATGCATTTACAATATATATGTATAATTATGTGTCTTGATGACTTTACTTACATGAATGGGATCATAATGATCTCTAACCTTTTCACTTGCAAATATATCTTGGATATACTTCCTCATCAGTACATATAAATCAAATTTATTATTTAAAATTTCTTTCTTCCTTCCTTCTTTCTTTCTCTTTTAAATAAGCTCTATGTCCAACATAAGACTTGAACTCATGACCCTGAGATCAAGAGTCACATGCTCTACTGATTGAACCAGACAGGCACCCCTAAATTCATTATTTTTTTACAGTTATAATTTATTGGTATTCTCTGAGTATTAATGGACAATTAAATCAATCCTTACTTTTACCAGTTAGAGATATTATCAATGACTGGTTATTTTATACACCTGTACACCAGTGGGCCAATATTTCTGGCATCTTGCTTTTGTATCCAGGACTTTGGCCATTTCCAGCAGAAAAGAATGGACAGCACTTTTGTCTTTTCCTTGGAGGGAGCTCAACTATTGGGAGCCATCCTTGTGCCTGAGTCACAGCTGCCCTTATGACATCATAGGTCTACCCCTCCATTCTATCTACTCATCCATGGCTAGAGGAAGACAGACCTGAGGGGGCTTGAACCATCTACACCCAATCCAATGGTGAGTGAGAGACAGACAAACCAGGCTTTTTAAGGATGCTCCCATAGATCTCTTAGGATAAGGGGATCCCCCTGGCATATGAATACTCTGGGAAGCCCTGGAAGCTAGGGATGTGTAGGATACCGAATTGAGAGGGAGGGAGCTCAGTTTCACTATTTTTTTTTAATGTTTTATTTATTTCTGAGAGAGAGAGAGACAGTATGAGCAGGGGAGGGGCAGAGAGAGAGGGAGACACAGAATCTGAAACAGGCTCCAGGCTCTGAGCTAGCTGTAAGCACAGAGCCTGACGCGGGGCTCAAACCCACGAACCGTGAGATCATGACCTGAGCCGAAGTCGGACGCTCAACCAATTGAGCCACCCAGGTGCCCCTCAGAGTCACTCTTGACTTTTCCCTAACTGCTGGTTGCAGGAGACGGACCAGCCTCAAAATATTAATAAGCCCACTGAAGATGAGCCTCAGCAGAAAGAGAAACTGACTGGTTTATCCTCAGTACCACTGGCCTCAGAGAATAATGTAAAGGTAGGGAGAGCCTTGACTTGGATGTTTCTGGTCCTTGTGTCTTAGTGCTTGTGGCTAGTGTTTTTTGCATGGTCCAGAACTAAGAAAGGAATAAACTCACTCTTGTTTGTCCTCTCCTCATTTCTTTTTCAGTCTGAAGGTATAAATACAGTTGATACACAGATAGTGGATGGTGCTGATAAGAAAGCTAGACAAGTATGAGCCCCCTCCCTTGAGACTACACAGGCTGGGGCTGAGAATGTAGGTTCAGTGTTTGTGGAATGGAATGGCCAACACATGGAAAGCTGAGCTTAATCAATATTGTGTGTGTGTGTGTGTGTGTGTGTGTGTGAGCATGTGCATACGTTTGCTTGTTGATTAAGAGTTAAAATGTGAAAGTCAAGAGGAGTAAGTATGGGGAAGAGATAAGAAGTAAAACTTTATGAGGTGGGGGATACTTAATACTATAACATGACAAAGGAAGAGAGAGCAGGTTGTGGTTCAGAGCTGGAGTCAAGAATGAAAGGACAGGATTAGCAAAAGAGGCCAGTTCTCTAGTAGGTAAGGGTCTGAAGGGAAAGATCGCTTGATTAGGTGGGCAGATTCAGGTGGAACATGTAACTTTTTGACCCGTAGTTCATGAGTTCTTGCCCTAGGCTGTCCAACTTGACCCATAAAATATAGATAGGGCAGATGTACTTGCATTTTACAGATGGGGACTTTGAGATTCAGAGGTCAACATGTGTCCATGTCCATTAATCAGAGAGTGGCAGAGACAGGACACCTACCTGGTCTTCTTGTTCCAGCCAGTGCCTTGTCCAGTGTTCCTGAGCTTCAGAAGGGCTGACTGTAGACAGGGAATCTGGGCCCCTCTCTGGCATGCCTCCAAACTCAATGGGTAGGGAACATTCTCTGAATGCCACCTCCCCCCTGCCTTTTTTTCTTGCAAGATCCCAGGAAATAAAAATAAATCCTCTACCAGTAATCCAGAAGTCATAAAGATCCAGGCCTGGTGGCGAGGCACCTTGGTACGCCGGACACTACTGCACGCGGTAATCAGAGTGTTGATTATTCAGCGCTGGTGGAAG